CAGCAGGTGTGATGAGGCCACACTAGATTTGCCACAAAAGGGCACTCATTTCGACGAATAGAATGTAAATAAGTGAGAAGTTGTGATAAGGTGGGAGTTTGATAAGAGGGTAAAGAATAGATAGATAGACTAGGCCAGAAAAAGGAGTGATAGTGCAACCATTTTCAGTAGAACGTTCGTCGAGGGATTGACTTCACTTGCCTGACGAGTTCTTAGCTTGGTGCGGAGAATGGCAACACTCACTTATGATGCCGACTACGATGCCGGCGAAACGTTTGAGAATGCACCAAGTCCACTGTCTGATGCTGGGATTTCGATAACTACTATGGCAGATGACTTCAGATTAGGTGCGTTTCATTAAAAACAAGACCAAGTTGCGACAACTAGGTCAACCCACTTCTATTGACTTATTTTAATTACCTGTAATTCTAGTCTCTTTGCTTGCCTCCTTGCATTACTTTTTTCTGTCTTAAAGTTATTTTATAAAAGTTTTATTCGAATTGACATTGTTCATGGATAGTTATAACTTTTACGTAGGTTGAAATTTCCTCTTTAATTCCTTACGTAGCATCCGTTTTGATTATAAAAGTTAAACTACTAAAGCTTTTATTTTAAGTCACATTTCTTGGTCATAATTTTAGTCAGTCGATATTAAAATTACTTCGTTGAACTTCCAAATTACTTCTCTTCAATTAGCCGGAGAAAGCGATCTCCCCAATACATCAAAAGGAGCCCATCTCCAACAGGTCTGCTTTATATAATTGCGTTTGCTTTACTTACCAGCTATAGAGCTCTTTTTTACTTTGAAGTGTTGTCACTTTTGTTTTCATGTACAAAATATTTCTGACCTTGCAACATTGTAAAAACTGGCCTCAATCAATTGTTACATGTAAAATTATATTCATAATCTTAATTCTTATGAACATTTTATTCGCTTCATAAATTCATCTATTTTGAACTTACTATCATTTATTTTATCCCCGACGCTCCAGTATTTCTTAGAGCTATTCGCTTGTAGCCTACATCTGGATATCTAAACGAAATTTCATTCCTTTATTCCTACATAAGTTTACTCGTCAAATTCATAAATTTTTGTGCAACATTTTATGCATTCCTTAACATCTTGAATCGTCTAAATTTTTAATGAAATTTTTTGTTTGAGTGATTGTCTCACTCGATCGTTACTCTAACTAACTGCCTCCCAAAATATAAATTATATCTGGTTTTCGATACTAGCTTGTGGTCTGTGGAATGTTCGTGTAACCAGTAATGAAAGTTATTTCAAGATTATTTTATCCACGATTAGGATGCTCAATTTTATAATTTATGAATTGTTTTTTACTATTATATACCCATATTGCTTAACTTTTAAGTTGTTCGGATCAATTATTTAATGAGTCAAACAATCCAGCTTTCTTATATATAGCCCATTGTATCTCTATTTACTTACTTATTAATCGTGTGAACTTTAGATTGTCTTGCGAATTCTGCAGCTACTAAACGCCCAACATTTTTTAAATCCTCGAGCAGCTTTAAATACATTTTATTTTACCCCATTCTACTTAATCTTTTTGATACTTTTTTCATAATTTATACCTCGGACATATCATAATATCTTCTATGCTTACGAGACTCAATCATTGCATTATTAATTTATTCTTTTGTATCAATCTTCTATAATTAAATTTAAAGTCCCTTTTTGTGGTGGAATTCTCTTTTCTCACTCATCTCGAAACTATATATCGCCTTTGTCATCGCCCTCAACGGAATCGAAGGCATTACGTTATAACAATCGGTTAAAATTATTAATGAAGGTGTGAAGATCTAATTAATGTGGCCTTAAGTATGGTCACGATACGTTTTTGCTATATGGAAGTTGTTTAATCTTGTTTTCCAACTAGGCCTTATCATCGGGGCGACTTAGATGGAGGCACCTTGCATCCATTATAATTTCTAGTGTTGGACCATAAGCTAGGTACATTTTCAAACGTTTTTCCGACATAGTCAGTTAACCTTTCCATTAGCACCACATTATAACTCGTCAAAGTGACAAGTGACTAAGGGAATATACTGAGTCTATTATCCGGAGTCTCCCTGACCAAGCTACTCAAACGAGGTTAAACAATATTAGGGGACCTTTATTTCGTATGAAAGTGCATGAAGAAGAGATTCGTTGGTCGATCTCACCAGAGGAGGACGGATGAAACTCGTACTGCTTCTGGTTAGATTTTATACGATATTCATGTTGACGCAGTCCACGGGACTTCCTCCCTCGTTTCGGGTGTTAACGTGCTGCGCTTTCGTCCATCATATGATTAACATCATCAGAGCTGGGTGTCATTCTTTTAAAAGTCAAATGTTAAAACTAGGCCAAGAAGACTATCCGGCTTTTTCTTACCTCTTATATAGACTAAGCTAAGCCAAAAGAAAATTA